CAGGCCCTCAGTTCTGACTTTGCTGATTAAGTAGGTTATGGCTAGGCTGAGAGAAAGCATCCCTTTTGGTTTTCCGTGGAAGTGCCACCAGTGGTGCTCCCCTCCACCACCTCTCCTGCTGTCACCTACTTACCCATTTACTCTTCCTAACTCACTGTCTGTTGTGCTGCCTGTACGTGCTCTTGCCCTCATTTCTGGTGACCTGAAATATCTCCGTGCAGCTTTACTTGCTCACCTGTGGAAGTTTGGTTTCACTTCAGTTTATCTTCCCATTTGTTCTTCCATCTCAGAAATCCAGGTTGCATTTGTCCTCCTAGTGTTTCTAGTTTCCTGTTAAAATTGAGGTCTTACTCCACAGGATTCCTTAGTTTATAATGAATGAAGTTCTCTGGTTTCCTCTTTTCTACTTTAAGCTTGGTATTTTGTCTTTTATTGCTAAGTGTTTCATTGCACTTTTAAGGAAAATATTCACTCTTTTTTCAAAGTTAACTGGTAGTATCAACACTGCTTGATCACAAGGGTGTAATTTTTCTGTGATAGAACCTGTTATAATGAATGCTCTGTTCATATAGCAATAGTGGAAGCTTACCTTAAAATCAAGGTTAGGCTCCAAAGGTACAAATAATGCTACATGTCTTAATTAAATTATCTTTTCTCAGATTTTACAAAAAATATCTCAGAAATTCCTTCTTACCAATCCCTTTTTACTCTGAATACTGTTTCTTTTAGCTTATAATACTGTCTAGAGAACAGCTTGCTGATATTTCTGACATTGATTTCATTTTCAAGGAGACTTCAGCATGTATTAAATAAGAACTTTCATTTGCAAAACACCATGGGGCAAAGCTATAGGCTCCAGGACACTGGGCATATTCACTTTGAAATCTTCATCAATTCTAGGACAATTTCTATAGCATTTTACATATAATGCTACAGTAAGTATCCATTTCTGAGAAGTCACTGTAGATGTAATCTCTTGTCAAGAAGATTACAGGTGGATAAATCCACTATATAAGTTTCATATTTTAAAGCATATTTTGAAGAAATAAATAATTCTACCTTTAGGTCATACAAGAGACATTTAAAAAACCTTGCTATTTTTGTCTTTCATGTATAGCGAGGCAATTTTTATGATACTTGTTTTAATGGGATTGTAATTGCAGCTAATATAAACCATCACAATTGCATGAATGATGGATGTGAGAATGATATGTTTAATGACAATGCATATGATATCTGTAGATATTGACAGATTCTCAAGTGGGGTATAGGGAATAATTATTGTGGCAATAGAGAGGAAAGATAAATTATTTATTTTATGTAGGAGAGCTACACGTCAGATGCGAAATAGACTCATTATTTTTCTCTTATTCCCAAAGGCTTGTTCCAATAAGTGTCTATTGATCCATCTAATCCAATGGCAACCCCTACTGATGGATTAGGCATTTTTATGCTTGAGATTCAAAGTTCTTTTGTAAGAAAGTCAATTTTTCATTTGTCTAGCTACTTACTTTTCAAAAATTTAAATTTTCATAATCTTAGTATCATAACAGGCAAAATATAAAGTCTGTAACTTTTCATGGAATTGTTTACTTTGAAAAACCAGGAAATAAAAATTCTGGAATAAAGAAAAGGTATAAAATCGAGACCAGACAGTTGCTACTTAACTCCATAATATTGTCACTCTAAGAATATGAGAGTCTGATTTCATTTTTTATTGTGGTTTTGTGTGTGTGTGTGTGTGTGTGTATATGTGTGTGTGTGTGTGAATGTATATATTTGATTTCAACACACTTTTCAGAACAGCAAGTCTTTTGTATACTACAGTCACCAATAGCATGGCAACTAATAATGATGATAATATTATTTTTCTAAGACTATACAAATAATATCATAAAATTATTTAAAATGTCTTTTTGCTTACAAAATTTAATTTACAAAGAACACTGTCATATAGTTTTATGATATATATTCTTTGAGGCAATGTTTTCCAAAGCTATTCATTATGAATTATTAAAAGCAGTTATAATATATATGAATATATATGCTGTTTTCATAAGAAACAGATGCACACAGAAGTTCTTTTGGCCTTGAAATTTTATGCTATAATTTCTTCTTTTGATTTTAATATGATGTATTGAAGATAATGGGGAAGGGAGATATATAAGGGAAGAAATTAATTCTGTCATTCAGTTGGGAAATGTGAGGGGAAAGGGTTATAAGAGAAGAACAAAAAGTAGACTAGGGACAAGGCCAGAACCAAGAAAGAAGACTGAAAAGCCATGCTGAAGAAATTACAACCATTAATAATATTCCCCTTAGAGGTAACGACTCAGACAGTCCCCTGGTGAAATGCCACTATTCACAAGGAAAGTTGGGCTGAAGAACATTGGTGTGACACTTACTCTCTTCCTACCAGACAGAGCCAGTTGTCATGTTCCATCAGAGAAACACAGCCACATAAAAAAAAGAAACAAAACCTAGGTAATAGAGTAGGATTACTAAATTTGGGGGAGACAGTGTTTCTGTGTGCTTTTAACACCTCAAAGTGCTATGTAGTAAGAAATAGTAAGAGCTACAACTGCAGAACTCCAAGGCTGAAACAAGGGTCTACAGACAATTAAAATGTGTACTTTACGCCATTAAAGTTATTCTTAAAAACCGAGGTGTTTCTGTGCAGCACACACTAAAGTTATCTCTTGTAGAACATTCAATTAGTTATTACAAATTGATAGTACTTGTGTTGCCTATTGTGAAACCCATTCATGCTTGGCTACAAACCATGACGGTATATGCAAAAAAAAAAATAAGAATGTGAATTACCCAAGCCAAACAATGATGAAGAACTGAAAATAACAATGATAGATTTTTGCTGACTTGTGAGAAATTGCACTCAACTTATGACTGTGCATTCTAGCAAAAGTCAAGGTTTTTCTTGATTGGACACATTACATTTGGTTCCTATGTATGGAAACAACAAAAGGGAAACACATTTTTAAAAAAAACAAGAAATTGCCGGGCGGTGGTGGCGCAAGCCTTTAATCCCAGCACTCGGGAGGCAGAGGCAGGCGGTTCTCTGTGAGTTCGAGGCCGGGCTGGACCGATAGCCCCGAAACAATACAGAGAAACCCTGTCTCGTAAAAACCAAAAAAAAAAAAAAAAAAAAAAAAAACAAGAATTAAGAGATTTTTAAATGTGTCCTCATGGGAAAAATTGGAAAATTTTTGAATGATATATTCTACGTGTAAAAACAATTTGCCCTTCAATAAACGGCATTTTTTTACTTTACAGTTACTGTATTTCTTTTGTATTGATACATAGACACCCCCCCCCCCACAAATACCATTTCCCTTTGACTCAAATAAGAAACTGTTTTATTCTCCTCCCTGCTGCTAGTTGAGAAGTCTGTGTAACAAAAAATGCATTAAGGCAAGCAGGATTTGCTTAGACATCAATAAACTGGAAAGACTCCCAGCAGGCCACTTGTAGTGTCAATAACGGTTCATAATGACTTGCTCCTTGGTGGTTTTAGACTCAGCCCTTTGCTTGGCTGTGCTGCAGAGATTAGGCTCTCGAAACTTGGGAGATTTTTAACTTAGTAAACCTCAAGTAGAGATTGGCAAGCATCATCGAGGAACCCGGGTCTCATAATAAGGTTTGTTGTGTTATTTTTAGAGACTTATAGCAGCTAGTCAAACTCTATCCCTGAACTTCTGGAACCCCAGATTTTAAGCAAGAGTGATGTGTTTTTCAGTTCAAGCTGCCCTAGGAGTTACCCAGAATTTCTTCTTCTGTCCAAAGATGGCCAAGCCCTAGTGGTGGGACTCATCATTTCCTGGCTTGGAAAGGGTAAACTTAAATGGCTTGAGGCAATGCTCAGCCTGAATGAGCAGGAATTCAGACGTCAGAGCCTCTGGGATCCTGGGGCTCAGGCACACAGATAGGAAGGAGCCTGGCTTCCAGGCTCTGTCTCCTGCTGTGGAAGAGTACAGATGGTAGGTGTGATAAGCCCAGGCAGTCAGCTCTCTTGGATGTGCCGGAAACTAAGAACAGAGAGGTGTTCACACACACAACTCAGAAAGCACGCCAGCTGCACAACACAATAGGAGTAAGGAAAAGGGTAGGAGGGAAGAGGCAGGGGAATCAGAGTTCAATACCCTGGTGTTAGAGTTTCAAGAGGTGCCTGCCTGACCTGCTTTCAACCCTTCCTTTCTTCTTTCCTTGGATGGTGAATGTGTTTGTGGTTGCCTGAGTCCAGTCCAGAGGTCGCTTCTTTTTCTCAGAACCCTGGTTCTCTGCAGTTAAGTTTAAATGGCAGTGCACTTCCCTTCACTTCTTCTTGTGAGGAGTTTCCAAATGTCAACTGGAGGGTCACACAAATATCCTCAACGTTCATAACACCACCTCTGACTTCACTTGCTTACCGCAGCCTTCGAGCTGGGATTCTCATTACCCACCCCTTCTGACCTAGACCAGCTCATTGGCTCCTGCGTATATTTGCATTTTCCAGACAGAGTTGTGTAATGAATAACGAACGTCCTCCTTTCACTTCCCTGCTGGATGTCACTCAACGTCGCACGGGTTTATTCGCTAGTGCGATCATGTATGTCTAGCAAACACGCTTTCAGTAGCGGGCTCCTTTCTCCTATGCCACCCCTAGCCCTATGCATTGCATTCCTCCGGTGGGGATGAGTCTCTCATCTTTCTCAGAGCAGATGCACTCCTTACACTAATGTAGTCAGAAGGTCTGGACGCCCGCGGATCCCGAGCATTGACGTTTGGGCGTCCTAGGAGACGCGAGGAGCGTGTCTATCTCTGTGTGTCCCTGTTTTTTTGAGTATGTGCGCGAGAATGCGCGCGCGCGTGCGACACAGAGCTTCCTCCCCCCCTGCATAGAGCAGACCATGCCCACGACGTTACTCTCCTCCTAGCAGCCGCCAGCAACGCAAGGCAACAGCAGCCTCCGCCCCCTCAGCCCGGTGATTGGCTGGCCTTGCTTATCATTTCCCTGCTACGGCGAGGAAAGGGCCAGTGACGCCCCCGAGCCCAGCTGCAGAAGCGACCGTCACCTCCAATGCACAAGGTGTCACATTTGAAAAGAAACCTGAGCCCCGGGGAGAAGGCGCTGAGCGACCCTGGCCTGGAGAGTGCAAACTGCGCGGCCGGGCGCTGGGCAGCGCTGGAGAACCCAGAGAGCCCCACCGCAGAACATCCTAGCGACCTGATTCTGGGATCTGGGCTCCACGCTCCCTTCGCAATTTTCAGATTTCTCTCCTTCGATTATTTCCCCAAAACGGAACCTTTATACCAAGAGAAGGTGCCGGAGCTGGGGCAACCAGGACTTTCCCGGACACCCAAGATGCGCTCCATTAGGAAACGGTGGACCATCTGCACTATAAGTCTACTTCTGATCTTTTATAAGACAAAAGAGATAGCAAGAACTGAGGAGCACCAGGAGACGCAACTCATCGGGTAAATGCTTGTTTCCGATGTGGCAGAAAGTCAGGCTGTAGTGAAGTGTGCACAGAGTGACGTTCGGAGTGCTGTGTGTGTGTTGCTTTTGAGCCTGCCTGTGTGGCTAGTGTCATGAATTCAATAACAAAGGCTCTTTGGGGGTGTGTGTGTGTGTGTGTCTCCCAGGCTGTTTCCAGTATGAGTTTAACTTGCCCTGGGCGGTGGTGGTAGTGGAGGCGGTGGTGGTGACAGATGTATTGGCAAGGGTGCTGCTCACTGAAGAAGTCACTGCAGAAGTGTCAACAAAGAACCGCTGCCCTTGGCGTTTTAATGCTTGAGCAGAACTCAAGACAGGTTTCCCTCATGGAGCCCCTGTCTTTCCTTCTGTGCCCTGCCAGTCTAGCAAGATACTACACAAAGCGGCTTTTTCGAAAGGCAGAAGTTTTAAGTTCACGGAAGAGGAAACGGGTCTCTTTACTCTTTCTTGTTTGTTTGTTTATGATTTGGGTGGTGGTGGGAGGCGCCTGTGAGATCTGTTTTCTTTATTTTCTAATTACAAAATACAGTGCCAATAAGGATAGCACTCGATTTACTCCTCCATGGATAAAACTTCTGGCTTTCACGCTGACAGTTTTCGAAGGGAAATGGGAACTGTGTCTTCACAGACCCTATCTTTGCTGCTTCTTGAGTTTGTCAAGATGTGTTCAAAATCTCCGCCCGGTTAAGTTCTGTGAATACCACACTTCCTTCCTCTCTCCCTGGCCTCTCTGCCTTTGAAGTCTATTCAGAGCCCAGCCCCTTGCAACTTCGTGCCTGTCACTGACTTGGAAGCCTTTTGTTGGGAGGATATGGCCCTGCTTGTCAACTCTGCTAAAAGTCCTGTTTCGGAAATCCTTCCAAGGCTGGAGGTTTCCGCAGTCGGAAGCTGCCCTGGCTGAGATTTCCTTCTGTTCTTAAATTGTCTCTGACATTTTTAAAGCGAAGAGGGATGCTTGCCGTTTTCGTGTGCGCGGTTAGTGTGGGGGCGGAGGGGGGGGGGTTACGAGGCTGCTAAAGCACACACCGGGAAACTTTATGCAGCTCTTTCCTTAATCCTCCTGCTCCACTCTGAGTAATCAGTCGCATTTAAGTGAGCAAGGTGCAGGTGTATCCTTGCGGAAGGAGCTGCGAGTCTGTACAAAGCTAGCCTAACAGTACCACATTTCAAAGGGGACTGTGGGAGAAGAGAAAGGTGGTGAGGAAGGGGCTGGATGTCCTTATGCTTCAACAAACCCATTCAAGGTCTGTATCAGAGAAAATGAAATAAATAAATGCGAGAATCATGTGAGGTCGTTCCCACAGAAGTGGGTGGTTTGAAATTCCATGTCAATGGTAGAAAAGAAAAACAAAATTGGGAGGGGTGTGGGCATCCCCAGCAGACCTGCCTTTGCCAGGCAGACAAAGGGGTCTCGAAGGTGGTGAACCCGTGCGTGGGAATTCCTGGGAGAGGCGGAGGCTGGGGCTTGTGAGTGGAGGCTCTTTGTTCCCTTCTGAACTGATGGGTTTGGAAGATGAGCTCCCAGCCTAGACAAAGCAGCCAAGCCTCTACAGGACTCCAATGGTTTGGGACCCCGGTGAGCAGGAGTGGGCGTGGCGATGAGCTGGGTCTCCAAATACTGGAAAGGAATCCTTTCCTAGCTTGCTTAAACTGTCCTCGGGGAAGAGGCTCACACCCCAGTGCCCCATAGGGAAATAACAGATGCAGGACACTCCGCGTTTCACAGCGACGTTTCTTTCGTGGCCTTTTTTCTGGAAACCTCTGGAGGGTGGCCGCAGCTCTGCGAGGTGGGGAACGGAGGTGGGGGAGCCGCACAGTGGCTGGGTAGCTCTGCTAAGCTGTGGCCTGCACCCTTTGCCCTCCCAGCTGCTGTTTCTTTCATCCCAGTTCGTCTGAGGAGGCTTGAGTTAGTCGCTCGAGTTAGCACAACAGGAAGGGAGGTGTGCCCTGGGTAGTCTCTCTCCTGTCAGAGAACTAGCTGCCAGAGCAGAGTAAAGAGGAGACTGGGTATTGCGTCCATCGTTTCTGAAAGGAATCAACCTTTTGTGACTCCTTTTTTTTTTTTTTCGGTGACAGTCAAACACACACAAAAAAAATCGTGTTCAAAGCTCCTCCTCTCGAATTAAAACCTCTTTAATTACAACTGCAGTCCTTTCGGGCAAAACGGGCACCTGGTTGTGGAGACAGCCCTGCCTCATGCATGTGCTGGTGGAATTCTGACTGCCACGAGCTTCCAGACTCAGTAGTGCAAGGAGGAGGCAGTGTTGCCGGGTAGCTGTTGTCTGGGCATTCATTCCCTTTCCTTCAGAATGAAACATTAGGCGGGGGGAAGCCTGTGGCCTGAGCACGTGGCTTTCTCTCAAGCCCCCAATAGTGCCTCTGGCGGAAGAGTTGACTCATCTGCTTACTCACCTCCCTTCTCCTTGCAAGCTTATGTGGAGAGGCCAGTTTTGATATAACTTACAGAGGATAGGGCTCTGGAGCCCAGAGCAAAGCTTGTTTGAAAGTGAAGTAACAGAGGCAGTCTACAGCCTTTGGGGGGCACTGCGTGCCTTGCAGGTGGGCAGTGGTTTCAACCTAGTCCTTTATTCCTACATTCCTCTGGGATCCTGTACAACGTGCTCCCATGAGCATCTGTCACCAGGTAGGTGGTGGCTCTATTCAACCCTTCATCCTTTACCAGAGTTCCCAGGAAAACTCAGTGCAGCATCATTCTTCAGTATTGAATAGTTAATGCTATGCAGGAAGGAAAACACTAGCTGAGAAACTTTGCAGCCCATCTGTCACCGTGTGTTTGCAGAGGCCCACCCACCAGCAGTGCGTTGACCTAGTATTAAGGGATCATTCCCTACAATTCAAGCAGTAGTCGGTGATCACCTGAAACTCCAATTGCCTCCTGTACAAACTTTATTGATCACTAGAATGGCTTTTGTAAGTTTACGTCAGACGATCAGAAGTATTAAGTGTGTTACTCTTGACAATTTTTTTTTGCACATGCCTCACTTCTCCATCCTTCCTATGTTCATCAGAATATATTGGAAATGGGTTTTAAGATTCCCACATGCAGTACACAGATATGTCTATCTAATGAGGAAAGAATTTGAAAGTGTGACAAAGTTAGGTCATGCATAGATGTCTATTTTGATTAGATTCCCTGAAACTTTCTTGGCAGACTAAAATGAGCCTTAAACGTATTTGTCTTATGCATATCTTTCCCCTATTCAAGGCTGCTTACGTTATGGTTATGTTACTAAATGAGCAACAGTTATGAGTTCTGGCATTCATAAAGTTGACAGTAAAGCTAAACGCTGGTGCATAGACTATGCATAGGACAAGTTAGTTTCAAGGTAGAAGAAGTTTTTGGAAACAAGCATTTCATTGTATCTATATACTTTATAGATTATCTTTATAAATTAAATCATTTTTTGTTTGACACTTCGGGAATAAAATATAGAATCATCCTCCCCCCACCCTGCCACATGCCGTGGGTTCACTCACACTTATTTTGATTCAAGTTCTTGTTAATATGATTCTTTAAAGTTTAAATTAGTGACAAAGCTTAGTATAGTCATATTCATTCCAGTGCCAAGTAGCCATAGGAAGCTTCAGTGGGATGGACTTGGCTGTTGAGACCTAACATCCAAAAGTGTATTTAATCACCTTTGTTATTGATATCAGAACTGTTAAAATAAGTTTTTACAAAGACTGGAAACTCATATCAAAGGGAAGACACCAACAAAAGATCTGTAGATATTAGGTGGAGAAGTAAGAAGATTCCCTTCCAGGGGATGTGATAGGTTATCATCTTTGTTGAATTTCCACAGACCCCCCCCCCATGTAAGCAGGAACTCTGGGAGATTGCATTCTTTAGTGCTGAGTGATTTCTTTGATGTATTTAGACTCTTCTCTTTTAAAATTGCTTGTTGAATGCTTTGCAGATAGGTCTATGCAAAAAGGAAAAAAAGATGCTTTCAATGCAGCTGTTCAGATGTCACGTCCAAACTAGAATGAGAAACAAGCAGTAGGTGGAAATGTCCTTCATGCCTTGAGTTCATGGGAAGGGAGTCTCAGTTAAGACAGACTGAAACTAAGATCATGAACAAAAATATCCCTGGGGACCTGTTCAACTTTGCAGGGGAAAAAAAGTATGCTCTCTAGTCTAGATGATTCCTTTGCATGTAAAAGAGAAGTTTGACGACTTGTACCCACCGTCTTCCACTCAAGGCTCTTTCCAATGACAAAAGCCTGATGAGTGGCCAGTCACCAATTTAATAGATGTGGTTCAAGCAGCGGAGTAAGGTGTTAGCATAGTATCCACAGAAAATGGATTTGAACAATTTTTTAATTGCTTTTTGAATTGTAATTTTGGAAGTTCTGATAAGGTTCTGTAGGTCTGAGTATAGCGTTATAAAAACCACAGTACCATAATACGATACAAATTTTAAAAATTTGATCTCATGCATAATTTTACTTCTGTGAAAATATATCAGTTGTGGAAATTACTATTCTAGTCTTTGCAGTCTCTGGCAGAAGGATGATACTGGTAGCTATGAATGGAGAGAAGCTTGGAAAGCTCCTTCCCTCTTGCCATGAAAATAGTGATAATTTATGCCAGCTTAAAGGTCTACAAAGTGTGAAGGTTAACATTTGTGCACATCCACACTTTCTCTTGCACGCAATTATTATCATTAAAGGTATAATATGAAAATTGATGGCTGGATCGCTGTTTAGTGAAATGTACCCTGTTTCCGAACATCCTAAATGACCTCTGCAAAATGATTATCATTAGCCTTGCACAGACATGCAAATGTGTCACTTCAATCAGTAGAACTGTATAAAAGATTAATTTGTATAGAGTTCCAAATTTCACAGGGAGTGGCTGTCACATGATTTCATAAGCAGCACAGGGAGCCACTTGAAATTAAAACTATGTATTAAAAATGCAAAGCAAGAACCGGGCGGTGGTGGCGCACGCCTTTAATCCCAGCACTCGGGAGGCAGAGGCAGGCGGATCTCTGTGGGTTCGAGGCCGGGCTGGACCGATAGCCTCCAAAACAATACAGAGAAACCCTGTCTCGTAAGAACCAAAAAAAAAAAAAATGCAAAGCAAGAAGCAAACAATAAGCCTATAGTTTTAGAACCCCCAGCAGAAGTTAAAAGGCAGTGTTTCTATTGGTAGAGAGCATTTTGTAGTTAATACACACACATTCAGAGTTTGTGATTTTGAACAAGCATTTTGTGATATTGAGAGAGACAAATTACTTGAAAAGTTGCATATAAGTAACCAGTACTTTTTCTTCCTCTGCTATAGGCAACTAACTTCTAATTATCTGAATCCTTTACCAGAAATAAGAAAGGCAAATATCTATTCAATAGTGAACTAATTAGCACTATAGGTTCTCCTGGTTTAAATGAAAAAAAATAGATTTTTCTCATCATTATGATGTCACTAAACCCCTAAAATTCCCAGTTCACATGGTATACCATATACTAGAGAATATTAATAGAAAGAGGTAGTTGCTTTTAAAATAATGCAGAAACACTAGATATATGAACTAAATGAATTTTCTTGTCTGCTTCCTGGTAATCTCACCCTTATGATGTTAGCAAACAATTCTTTTTAAATTGGCACTTCAACAACGCTTGAAAAATTACTTTGTTATAGAAAGAACCTACAATATTCAAAGGCATTGTGTATTAAATAGCATTACTGCAGTTTGTGAAGGCTGAGGTAAGACCACAGTGACCTAGTGAAGTAGCGGTGCCCAAGAATACAGAGCCAGCACTCCATGAAGTCAAGAACGTGTCCATGGAGTCAAGAACATGTCCGGATCTGTTATACACAAAGTTTTCTTAGTAGTTCTCAGCAAAAACTGTATTCAGTACTTTTATATGTCTTCTCTGAAACAAAATTAATCTTGGTCCCCAGAGTTGTAGGCCTACAGAATAATTGACCAAACATCATGCAATGTAGGCAGGTGAGGGGAGGCTAGTTGGTATTGTAGCTTTGATGAGAGTTATTTTTCTTCAAATACTCTGAGGTCTGCCTTATACTAAAGACAGATTCTGTTCTAAAAAATATGTAGAAGTTTGCTGTGATAATATCCATCACCTAACTCCTAAAATACCTCCTGTCAGGCATCTCTTTCCTTCTAACTTGTAAAAATAATATCCAACTTTTAATCACTAACAAATATAATCGTGTATTGATGGGGGAAGTCCTTCTGCGTATATGTTTGTCTTATTGGTTGATAAATAAAGCACTGTTGGCCAATAGGGAAGTGAGATAGGTGGGACTAAGAGTTAAGGAAGATTCTGGGAAATGTAGTCAATAGTGGAGAGTCACCATGTGATCCTGGATCTTGGGAAGAGAGGACACATGAGGCCTGCATGACCTCAGTAAGATAAGACCATATATGTATGTATGTATGTATGTATGTATGTATTTATATATGTATATATGTATTATCAGTTAATACTTAAGACAGAAATAGTCAATGAGAAGCCTTGGACATTAGCCAACAGCATGGTAACTAATAGAGTCCTTCTGTGTTATTTGGGGTTGACATGGCTCAGGGACCAGTTTGGAGGGAAGAATGCTTGTTACAGTGTATGATGACACTTATGCCAAGTGGGTGTGATGTTCACACAGCTGGCCTGTTTGTTTTGTTTCAGAGATGGTGAATTGTGTTTGAGCAGATCACTTGTCAACAGCTCTGATAAAATCATTCGGAAGGCTGGCTCAACCATCTTCCAACATTCTGTACAAGGCTGGAGAATCAATTCTTCTTTAGTCCTGGAGATACGGTGAGGTCCTTTAATAAGCACCTGAAATTTCACATCATGTCCTTAAACATGTTGGGTTTGGCAAACTTATATTGAACATTTGATTTATGGCTTCAGTGTGAATATTTAATGAAGAAGTGAATCAGCTATATTTAATGTTCCTCATGATAGAATATGGAACAAAAAAGTAAAACTATTCTGTAGTCAAATTTTCAAGGATGATGGAACTTTCAATAAAGTATCTTATTATCAACGGAATAAAATATTGAGCTAACTGCTGACCTTTAGCACATCTTTACTCAATTGTTCAGGATGAACATTCATTTTTGGAATCATTTTCTTAATCTTACCTTATGGAAACTTTGTTTTGATTTGACATTTAACTGCATAGAACAGAGGTTCCTCAATTTCTTTTGTTCTAAGTATGGATTGGTTTGACTTATTCAGTGATTATGCCTGTAAAAGCTCATGTGAAAAACTGAACAAAAAGTCAGAACATCAACTTTCTAAAGTTCTGACTTATTCTTTGCCAGGAAGACATTTTATGCTGGAGTTAATTATTGAAGTAAATTCCAATGACTCCTATCCATTACAACTCTCTCTTTTATTTCAGCCTTAGAGTTAATGAGAAAAACGAGCTATACATTCCTAAGCATGGAGAGAACAAGAACCACATTTTTCCTTATACTTTCATTACACCATTGCTTTGGTTGGTATGCCTAAATTAGAACATTTTGGTTATTGAGAACTCAAAAAGGTTGAGAGAACATATCCATTATATATGTAAAATCATTGCTTTCTAGCTCTTTTGCAAAATGTCAATTATTCATTGATGAAATAATGACATCAAAATTTTGTAAATGTAGCTGACTGATTAAAAAGGTGAGGTTCTCATCTATTTGTCAGCTTGACATTTTTGTCCTCTTCTAGATACCTGTAGAGTATCTCCCTCTGTGTCTCCCCTAACTTCATTTGAATCTAAAATATGTTAGCAATGAACTAATTATTAGGAATGAGATGATAGGTTAGCAGAGCATAACATTAGATCTCAGAAGTAGATTGAAAGAGAAAGAGGTGATTGAAAAGAAGTTTTTTGCAGCCATGACTTCAAAGAAAAATGATCCGGCAAGAAAGGAGTCCTGGCTGCGTGGATGATATAAATGAAAGAGGTGGAGAGTTATACAAAAGAAAATCACCATAGTTGAACATATGTAGTCATGCTTAAAATATGTCATGTATTTGAAAAATTTTAAGAAAATGTACCCAATGAATAATAGTCCTCCATAGTTAATGCAACAGTCTACGCATTCCTGATATCTTTTCAAAAATGAATACTGTGTGTATTTGTGAGACTTGAAACTTGCCTTTTGCTTTTTACTAATGTAGACAAGCTAAAGGTGTTAAGTATAAACTGACTCAAATGAGACCCTTACCAACTAATGGAGGCTGCAGTTGTAGTTTTGGAGGTGAGCTTTTTTTAGTTAACAACTGTTAATATGAGCGAGATGTTAGCACCAGCTATGTTTATATTGTTCCCCTTAACAAAGAGGTAAACAACAAAACTGAACAAATATTGAATAATACATACAAAGTTGTCATTTGCAAGCAAAGAATAATTTGTAAGTTCATTATTGCACAATGTGCAAACAGTTCATAAAAATTACAATTGCTTCTAGCAGCAATGACTACTGAGTATTAATCAGTTTGACACCTGTAATAAAAGATTTAGGATATGAAAACATCTTGTTGTTTGGCTTAGGTTTTACAAGTCTGTTGTTAATAAACACATCTGTGAGTGGGCGGCTGGATACTGTTCAAGTTTTGGAATGTTTTGATTGAGCCATTTCCTATAATTTTTTTTCTCTCTGTCTTACATAGTTGAATTGGACTTAAAGGTTTTCTAGTTTTTTATTACCATTATATGTTATATTTATAATTTCCTAATGATATATCTAACAAATTATTTGTTAATTTCCATTAACATGTGTAATGGTTGTATAGGACACTTCCCTTATAGTTTTGGACATGAATTGTGTTTCTAGCCCTCAGTCCTTCAGCCCACTGGTCTGCATCTTTTATAAACACATCAGGTGTTGACTTACTAAGCAATTGTAGGAGGAGATTTGTTTATTGTGCTTTAAAGACTTCTCAGGGTTTAAGGAGTTAATGCAGATTACAAGCAAATTCACAGTGGAAGTGATCACCTTGTTCTGGGCTTTGCTCTATGGACACCAATCTGTTTACATTGTTTTCTTTAGAAATGACACATTTCAGCTTCATTACTTGTGAATAACCCTGTAAATATTGTCAGTTTCTGTCCAGAATCTGTCTCTTGACCTATTTCTCATCGTTTGATTCTTTTTTTCCCCTTCTTTTCACTTTTCACATATTAAAAGGTAACAAAACCTTAGGAAGTACAAATGCTAAATAAGGGTGTAGAAATAGATAAACTCAGCTACTTTCCCCAAATAGCCTAGACAATAATTAGTGAACTATTTCTAACTCTCATATGTCTTAAATCTATGAGTGCTTAAGTTAACATGAGTGCACAACTGTGTGTTTAGTTGTGTAAAAGAACTTAATATTAACGTTTATAGATTACTTTTCCAAAATACACCATACACAATTCTTACACAGTCTTATATCTATAGTGGACGGCAAGTGGCAATAATGTTAATTGTGGCCTAGGAAGCTTATTTAACCAAAGAGTCAACATTCCCATTGAGCGTTTTGTTGAACGAAACTGTAGACGATTATATATTTTAGTCCTAAATGTAGAGGACTCTTTTTATGGAGTATAGGCTATTTATTTGACGTAAAAATAAAAATATGAATTTTTGTCATCCAGTTTTATGAAATTTATAGCCAAATGTCAAATGCTGACATGTAAAAAATAATATTCCTCATATATTTTGGAACACTAGTTTTCATATGGTGCGATTGTTTAGCATTTTCTTTTTGATACTAAAATATCCTTCGTTTAACATGTTCTTCGGTTTTGAGTTACTAAGTAATAAAAAGACTTTTCTTTTAGGCCTTTGAGGCAAAATGCTTCAGAAGATAATCTTTTAGACAAAAAAGTCATGGAGGGATTTTCTTTCATTTTATAGGCAAAATAATGCACTCAGCAGTTTCAAAGTTCTTTTATTTTCTTCGCTTTAGTAAACAGTGCCTTGTCAATCAATGTGTTTTTTTTTTCTTTTTGTAAAACACAAATTTGGCTGAGCTCCTGAAGTTCCATTGAAGAGAAGAATGAGGGATCATGAACGAGGGGTTCAAGAGCATGATGGGGAAAACCACAGAGACAGCGTACCCCAGCTAGTGGGAAATCACAGACTAAGGACTGACCATAGTACCTGCATGGGAATCAACTAGGCCCTAGGAAAGTAGGTGACAGTTTTGTGGCTTGATCTGTTGGGTGGAGATGGCAGTGGCACCAACACCTATCCCAGGGCCTCTTTCTTTGAGCCAATTCCCTATGGTGGAACATTTTGCTCACTTTGTTACAATGCGAAAGAGCTTGGTCCTGCCTCAATTTGGTATACCAGACTTTGTTGACTCTCCAAGGAAGTCTTTATCCCCTTTTAGGAGTGGGGGGGGGTTCGAAGACGGGGAAGTGAGGGGTCAGGAGAAAGGGAGGAATGGGGAACTGGAGTTAGTATGTAAAATGAAAAATAAATTTTTAGAATAAAAATTCAAAGTTTGCAACTACCGATTCTCTCCCTTATCTTTTCTGCTTACTGTAATAAACTTATATCAATTTCATTATGACATATATGCACAAATATATGTGAGTGTGTGTGTTTTTATAAAAATAACCTAATTTGATTTTCAACTTTTAATGTATCCTGCTGTAAGGCGTGTTACTCAGGGCTTTCTGGTGGGACAAATGCACTTTCAGTGAAATTTCAGTTGCTACAACACACACTGTTGACATAACATGCTCAGAGAAGACAGAATGGCATGTGATGTTGGGTTAGCTATATTTAACATTTCACAGATGAAAACAATATGCAGTAAATTAGTCCTCGGGGTCTCAGCAGCTGTCGTTACCACTGCTAGCTGGTGTTCAAAGGGAAGTTCTCCTTGAAACTTCAGTTGAGAAGTTTCTGTAGAGAATCTTTCCTGTCAGTTTAACAGTTCACTAGCCTTTGGCCTTAAGCCAACTTCATCTTTTTAAAAAAAATGGTTTTTGTGACTAAGATTTTCAGTCTCACTGAAAATGAAACATGTTTTCAATTTGTTTTTCAGTCACCATTAACTGTAAGTAGGTGTTGGCTTAACTAAAGATGTTTGAAGGTCTGAATTAGCATGGCCAAATGACAGCTGAGATCTGAGTAGCCTCCTCCTCCCTTTGTTCTTTTAAGTTAGACACAATCCCTGACATTAACTGTCTCTTAGTGGCTTGACCACTAAGCTTGCAAAGCTACAGTTTTTGCTGACTTGTGAGTCTGTAAGCTTGTGCGTTTAAGCTGGGTTTCCCTTTATTTCTGAAGTAATTTTGTTTCCTCTGCTGTTGACCAAAATTAAATTCATATTATGTCCTAAAAAAAATCATTTATGTCTTCTGATGAAACCTAAAAGTTTTTCAGTTCACTTTAAGAAAAAGTACATTTCATGTTTTCAGTGACATTCAGCTAATTATATTTAAGTACCTTTTTTTTCTTCCCTCTGTTTATGTATAGTCTAAGTGATAAGCATATTTAGAAAATCCATGGAATTTCTTGTGTTCCATTGCATCTGTAATCAAATAAAGATGGTTTTGGCCTTCTAAAGTGAGAAGAAACTAACAATTGTCCTCACTGGTGAGTGAGCTTTGTGCTCCAGAGCCACAATATTACTTACTCATAACAATTAGTGTTAAGAGAAGCTTTCCTTGAGAGGAGCCTTCCCGCCCGCCTGGTTCCAGATCTGCATCAGTCCCAAATAAACACACAGGAGGCTGTATTAATTATGAAGCTGTTGGCCTTGCTTGTTTCTTACTGGCTAGCTCTGACTTAAGTAATTACCCCATAATTGTTAATCTAAGTATGTCTCTTACCGGAGAATAGTTCCGGGCTTCCTACCCCATGGCGTTACATGTCGAACTCTCTTGTGTTTCTCCTTCCCAGAGTTCTCCTGGACTCCTAGTCCCACCTATCTAGATTCCTATTGGCCAGACAGTGATTTATTGACAAAGGCACAGGACTTCCCCCAACAAATTAGTGTAGGGTTCTTATGCATGTCCACCAGCAATCTTATCTCCAATAACATCCCATGCATAAATTCTAGCCCTCAAATAGGAATGACATGTTTGGCTAAATATAAGAAATAAACCGGGCAGTAGTGGCGCACGCCTTTAATCCCAGCACTCGGGAGGCAGAGACAGGCGGATCTCTGTGAGTTCGAGGCCAGGCTGGACCAACAGCCTCCAAAACAATACAGAGAAACCCTGTCTGGTAAAACAAAAAAGAAATAAAACATACAAAGATCATTTGAAGTCATTCAAAGTCTCTTCTTTTCAGCTTTCCAGTTTAAAATAGCACATTCTACATTTAAAAAGTTTTAAATTGTATCAGAAAGCTTTTCCTATTTTTAATTTTCATTAGTCTATATGATTTAGGATTTTTATGGCTTTTAAAGGTAATTTTCTTTTGTTTTTTAAACTCCTGCTTTGTAAAAATAAATGAGGACTAAACTTCATAAACCAGCATCAGAGTGTACATGACATTGCCCTGTACTCTACTGCACCTAAGAACCGTTTCTGTCACTGGCTACTGTTTTCTTCCAAAAGTTAGGCAGCCTGTGCATCTTACAATTTGCTGAACTTTTCAAATACCTTTAAACTTTTCCCCTAAGAGTGGCTAAAGTACATGTGTTCATCTGACTTGGGTTTCAGATAATGCATTTTAAAATGATTTTGCTTCTAATTTTCTATTAACCAGAAAAGACATTTTTTTTTTTGGAAAGTCCCTCTTGTCAGTTCACAGGCATGCAAGCATAACATTTTGATAATGTTGGAGGGAGTTTCCCTTTTGGATGTCTAAGATACAGAAGCTTCTTTCATACCTGCATCTCTGATCTCCTCATCTGAAGCTGCCAAACATGCTCCAGCTTCTGAATTCAATCTTTAAATTCATCTACAGCCACCCATTTCAGGAGTCTTCAAAGGGAAATGGCAACATCACCCACTTTGATGATTTAACCACATCCGTGCAGTCTTTGTTTCTGAGACAACCTTGGCATCATCACAGCTAATGAAAATTTGTGTTAAAATACAGACATCATGGCCTTACTATGCCGCCCCCAGCATCCAAGTTAGTAATGTGTAGTCAAGATTATTTGTGGTGTCCCTTTTGATAGGGGTTACCTTTGTGGAGAAGAACTAGATCCTTATAATGCTTTGCTCTTATTAATGAAACTGACATCACCCAGTGTCACACAGCATAGATGATATTAGCACAAAATGAAAATACGTCTCTTTATCAGACTTGTTACTACCAGGCACACACTTTTATCTCTGTGAAGGCAGAAGCTTGCCTTAAGAGCACATTGGCAAGGAACATCTACTTTGAGGCCTTTATTAGGTTTTTCTCACACTGTTTTTTGCTATTCTATGTTTGGTAGCTGTGGGATTCGGTAATCATGGACTTTTTTATAGGCCACATTCCTATGTTTTTGTCAATATCATTTCTTCACAAGCTAGTAGATCCTGGCATAATTCTTTGATGTTAGTTACAAACATGAATGAATCCTTCCAAACGTTCACTGTTAGGCTTTAAAAAATTATTCTACCCTTACCCTCCATCCCATAATATGATCACAGATACCCCCTTTGCATCACTCTTATCTGTAGATTTACATAGAAAGATAATTTTACCACTCTTGTGTGGACAGCTATGATGTATATTCACATTCCTTACCTATCAGGGTGCAGTCAAATGTGGGCACTACAAACTGCAGAGCCTCACAATTTCAGTTACAGACCCTTTCAAGACACAGATTTTTTGGCTTCCTTGCTTGCCACATGGCTGTTTAATGTCTGGTTCTCCAATTTTACACCTTAAAAAATTAGAGGTTTACTCCCTCTCCCTTGGGAGCTGGTATTGACATGTGAAGCAAGCTTGTTTCTAATTTAAATTAAAAAAAATAAAAGAAAAATATAGGTTTAAAGAGAAATCGGCACTAGGGAAATGTCCAGAGCTATACTGGGATGACCCCAACTAAGAATCTAAGCAATAGTGTAGAAGCTTCCTTAAATGCCTTTCCTCTATAATGGGATTGATGACTACCTTACATGCCATCATAGAGCTTCATCCAGTAGCTGATGGAAACAGAAGCAGAGACCCACAGCTAAGCACTGAACCAAATTCCTGGAATCCAGTTGTAGAGAGGGAGGAGTGGTTAGCAAAGGGGTCAAGACCATGCCGGGGAAACCAGAGAAACATCTGACCTGAACAAGGGTGAACTTATGAACTCCAGACTGGCAGCTCAGAAACCAGCATAGGACAGAGTCAGGCTCCCTGTATGTGGGTCTCAGGAGGCCTGGGCAGTTTATGGGGTCCCTGGTTGTAATGGAACAGCATTTATACCTAGTATGAATGGACTTTGGGAGTCAATTCCACATAGAGGGATTACTCTCTCAGCCTAGACACACAAGGGAAGGTCTAGGTCCTGCCCCAAATGACGTGACAGACTTTGAGGATTTCCCTATAGAAGGCCTCACCCTCTCTGTGGGGCAAAAGAGGGATGGGATGGGGCCGGTGGGGGTATGGGAGAATGGGAGGGAGAGGGAACTGGGATTGATATATGAAATAAAATTGTTTATAATTTAAATTGTAAAAAGGAGAAAAGAATCAACACTTAAATACTTTTAAACCTGTTTCTAACAAGAAATCAATTCGTTGTGCACAATATTGAGCTTCCAAAGTTTGAAAGGGCAACCACTTTTTACAGGTGCATTTTCTCTCATTCCGCATTTCAGCTGCCCTTCAGCCTGCTATGTGTATTTTTCAATTTTCTGCATCTATTTGAAACATGCACATATTTATATTTGCACAACATTGTATATCTCATGATTAATTTGTACAATAGCTATAGAATGGGATAGGTTTTAAAAATAAAAATATGGGCTTTAAAATACAATCATACATAAGATGTATTCACAACCGATTTGAAAAGATCAATACAACAACCAAAGCAACTAATGTTTAAAAACAAAGGCAGACACACACACACACACACACACACGCACACATACACTAAATATAATGTCTAATATAATGCTCTACCTGTGCAGGGCATTCTTTACTGAAACCATCCTACTTCGTGAACTCTTAAGCATAAATGAAGACTTACAGACAGATTTAATGTACCATTTGGGCAATAATTTAATATTTCTGTCTATGGTCTAATTCAAAATAACTTAAAAGTAACTATTGTTCATCTCACTGGACAATATTAAATAGAAGCAATGACTCTAGAAAATTAAAAACACTAGCCAAGTATCTACTGGTACAAAGTCTATCTATATCAACTGTATTTAGGTAATTAATTATATTTGAGGATGTTTTGACAAATGGAGTGATTTCCCCACTTTTGATCATACACACACACACACACACACACAATACCTACTTACAAAATTATTCGAAACTCCTTACATGATGGGATTTTTTAAAAAAATATATTTTGTATAACATTTACTTGATTTAAATACCACCTGAAAATTTAAGAGTAGTAGTTACCAGTTGATATTATGCATTCAATGTGTAAACAATCCCCTCATGAGTAGTAGTTACCAGTTGATATTTTGCATTCAATGTGTAAACAATCCCCTCAGTTCTTAGATAAGCAGTTCTTAATGTAAAGCTTTGCTTGCATTCCAAATATAGGAAGAACATTCTCCGTTTCTTAGATGCTGAACGTGATGTCTCTGTGGTCAAGAGCAGTTTTAAGCCTGGTGATGTCATCCACTATGTGTTGGACAGACGCCGGACGCTAAATATTTCCCATGATCTGCACAGCCTCCTGCCTGAAGTTTCACCAATGAAAAACCGCAGGTTTAAGACCTGTGCTGTTGTCGGGAATTCCGGTATTCTACTAGACAGTGAATGTGGCAAGGAGATTGACAGTCACAATTTTGTAATCAGGTGAGCCTCCTTCTGTTTTTTTGAGACTATGAGCATGTCAACAACATTTAACTTAGAATGCTGTAAGGAATGATTGAAATTCATATTAACATTAGGCATTGTTGATAACACTACCATTTATGTTTTATAGTCTTTACAGTGCTGTATAGAAAAAACATTTATTTGGGGTTAGAAATTTAATTACTGTATCATTGGAAGAAAAGTTGATTTTCTTTAGTAGCATTTCACAACAGATTTTAAAGATGGGGCAGTGAATATGTTAATTATACTAGTATGTACAGAGGCAAACAATAGTTTCTTATGCCTTATCTTTTAGTCATTCATTCCATGTAACTTAATTTGTGGAAAGAAAATTATTATGTGGTGCTGTCGCAGACATAAACTAATTTTACTCCTTTATCAATAATTACCTAGCAGCTGCAAAAATAGCCAAGTAAGTGGATTTGTATCAGCTATCCTGGGTCCAATTGCCTTTTTCACTCTTTATTTGTGGTATTGGAAATATATGCTTGTAAGTTTACTTTTCTCATGTAATTGAACATACTCATTTGTTATTTATTAGTGACCAATATATGTGACAAATCATGTGTTTGGTTAACTTTTTATGAACTTAAACAAGTAAGCAATGGATCATATCTGAGAATATTAAGGAATTTTCAATGTCCAATTCTTGTGTCTGTACAGTTTTTGTTGTCTTAGATCCTTAGGGAGCATATTAAATGAAGGAAAGAGTTGTGCCAATGTGTGCAAAATAGGTATAAAACGTGATGGCAAAGGGTGTCCAGGGTGAGCTCTAGACACCGTTGTCTAGGTAAAATGTGGTGTGAAGACTGTGCAAGGATTCTAAACTCTCTCTCAGTACAACCATAGGAGAGGTAAAAATAAAACTGTGTAAGTGTCAGGGCATGTTAGAAAGTATTGCAACATGAGGAAGTAGATTTCACAATGTGCTCCAAACACAACTTGCCTTTTCATCCTCCTTCTCGGGCCATAAACATTACCGGCTGACTAAGGTGATACATTCTGCCCCATTTTGGATGCTGATAAGAATACCGTTTTCTGTGTGACAGAGGCTGTCATCAGCACTGATTGCCTTCATATTGGTTCATTGGTGTCACCTTCTCTTCTGATTTTGTTACCCACTTATACCAGCTGTTATTTTAAAAGTACTATTGTTATTCTAGTTAAAAATGCTGGTATTTTGCATTATTCCTTTAATAAGTGGATTCTTTATTTCTTTCATCATTTGGTGACTGCCATTGCTACAAACCACAGTCTTTCCTTTTCATTTTTCTTGCATTCATTTCCTAGAAACTTCCCATCTTTCTTCCGGTCTCATGCTCTTGCAACAGCCTGTAGACCCCTAGAATCTGATCCACTAACGATTACAGTTTTCAGTCTATGCATCTTAACATCTGTGTTTTATAAAGACAAACTTCTCTTTCCTTAGTCTAGCAGGAACAATAGGCCACACCCATCCATACACTAAGTTCTACTACAGATGAGTAGAACGTAGGCCATGTTGCTCCCCTGCCTAACCTCTGGCTAAATGCTAAGAAACTGGGCATTTGACTAATGTTCTCTTTTCTCTTCTTGTAATGACTTGGGTACTTAGTTTTGTGTCTAACTGTTAGACTTACTATTCATATATTCTGTTTTAGATCACTAATCTTCCAGTGTAACTGTCCAATACATTTGATAATTTCTCAGAAAAACAAGCTTTGGTAATAGGCAGTATAATATTTTCATGTTTCAACTCTACACCCTGTGTTCCAGTGTCTTTGATCTGTTTTACTAATGATGGGCAGGTATATTTGGAGACCTATTCTATGTTCTGGAAGAGAGTTGTCTCTCATCTGAAAGACAAACAATAAGAGGAATACAGTTATATGACCTGTGTGGGTATCCATTTGAATCCAGTTATATTTAACCCTCAAAAATTGTATGTAAAGCAGATGAGTGCTTTGACTATTTTATGAATTCACAAGTATTCTGCTTTCACATAAAAAGGTTAAATGGCACCATTCGTTGCTTCAGTAGCTAACAATAATAATTAGTGTAGAAAACTACTTTGAAAACTTTGAGAATAGAGATTGAAATAATTTACTGACTGATGACTCCTCTTCTTGGAGGTTTCCAGTTGCTTTCTCCTCCAGAGAGAGGACATAGATACACCACATTGCAAATTATTATGTTTAAGTATGTGCCACAGAAGGGAGCCACAGAAAGTTATTACAGAATCAATTCTATGTTACTCTCTCTCTCTCTCTCTCTAGCATTCTTTCTTCACTAGAGCTTTGTCCTTAGCTGATTTCCCTAGTTTCATGCTTTCTCCTTTAACTGTGAAGCTAGAATCTACCTTAAGTGCAGCATCTGAAACATTATTGCTATTCTAATCTGTCTCTGTATTTTTGCCTTCAAAAATTATATATTTATATATATATGTGTATGTATGTATGTGTGTATACATATATGTATTTGTTGTTTTATGATTCTGTTAAATTTACTTTTTATTTATTTATTCTTTTGAAATTTTAATGTTTATTGTCTTGTTTTTGTTAGATTGATTATTTAATTGTTTTTCAAGACAGGATTTCTCTGTGTAGCTCTGGACGTCCTAGAACACATTTTGGATAACCAATTAAGACTCGGAGGAAGCTAAATTTTCTCTTTCAGTAGTCCTTAGTTGCCTGTAGTCTTTTTATATGGGTGGGATCCAGTGAAATTCCCCCTTTTTATGTTAGCATGTAGATTAATATTGTCAATGTTCATGTCTTATGTAGTTAGCCACACTATTGGGTGTCAGGGGTGTAGCATTCCTGCCATTTCTAGTAGACAAACTAGCAACAGCCATTTGGCCCTCTGACTCTTGCATTCTTTCTGCCCATGTTGTAGATGTACCCACTGGAGCTGGGCTCCCTTCCCACAATTCTTTGATCTCTGTGATATAATAGATCGATATCTGTGATATAGAAAACCACCAGCTGTGGTTTTCTGTAAGGCTATTGTTTTTTAAGGGATGAGAGCTACAATTTTATCTGGGTATAAAGATATATTTTAGATTTCAGTAAGAAATTCTGCTGGTCTAACAAATTGGTGCTATAGGTTCTCTTTTGAGATCCATAACTTCACTCGTCTGAGGTAGTTGGCTAAGTTTCTAGTTTCAGGCATGATTTTCTTACTGTTGATGTGCCATAAGTCTAGTTAGACAGCTGTTGGTCTCCACCTAATATGAATGCCACTACTGCGCCTGTAGAGATACCTTGTCATGGTAGTCATTATGTTGATTCACATGGGTAGGACTATTGATAGTTTGGTTTTTTTGGGAGCTGGCATAGTACTTTCTGGTACTAAAAAATCTAGACTGCAGGAAGGAGGCTTTCAGGTTATATCCAGTCAAATCTTCTTTGTTTTTGTCTTATATCTGGAGTGTCAACAACAATAGGGTCATTCATTGCTGAGAGACCAACCAAAGACAAGAAACACACATACATATATATATACATATATATGTACATGTATATATGCATATATGTGTGTGAGAGTGTGTACATATATATGAATATAAACTTAAATGAAGTTATATCACTTGGGCTGACAGCACTCCCTATAAAAACATAGAATATATAAAAAACCCACTATCAGGCAAGCTTATCCCTTCATTGATTGATTGTCTTCTCATCCAATCTCTCTGCATAAGTTGTGTCTTTTTAGGGTGAACGATATTAAAACATGTATTTCTTGTTGTCATTTCAACTTGCTTATTCACAAAGAAATACATGGAAATCTCTGTTGAGTGACTCTTCCTTCTCATAACATTTTCAAACTTACAGTAAAAATAGTTACTCGATTATAATTTGTAAAGTGTGAGTTAAGAAACATTTTTTATAAAGTTGGAATCACAAAAATTTAGTTTTCTTCAGCCTAGAGCTTGTCTAGAGGAAGGACGCTAGTGGGTATATGAATGTTTGAAGTCTTTTCATAGCTAATTTATTTTTCTAAGTTACTCTCATTACTGTTACATTGTTCCCTTCAGGTCACAGAATTTTAAAAAATGATAAAAAAACTAGGCCAAATCCATTGGGGTTTACAAGTCAACTATATATTAGGTTAATATTGAACAAAGGTTTTTAAGTAGGTTCTCAACATAGAAATAATTGACATGTCTTTGGGCATTTGAAGCTTCTTAAGACCCTTCACTCCAGAACTTTACATGCTTATCAATACTTGGTCAAGCTATGGTTATTTAGTGTTTAACAAGAATTTAATAATGGTAAGCTGTTGTAACGCAAAAAAAAAAAAGGACCCAGGGACTGATACTGGGATTCAAACTTCAAGCTGAAAGTCAGAAAAGCAAGATAGTGGGACATTAGCTCTTACCACTATCTCAGGTTGAATGGACTGATCCTGCTGCCTGTCCTCAGCATGGCTGAATGTTTTTCTATCCTCAGTGTGGGTGGAGAATGAAAGTCTGAGGCTGAGACTTTGTTCCTGTGTTGTGTACCTCCCTAATGCTGGGATTAAAGGTGTGCAATCCCAGGTGCTGAGATCATCTGTCTGAGCTGTTTCTCTTTAGGACAAGATCAATCTTGTGTAGATCTGAGTGGTCTTGTACTCACAGAGATCTGTCTATCACTTAATTCTGAATCCTAGGATTGAAGGTGTGTACCACCACCTCCCAGTTTCTGGTTGCTGGGATTAAAGGTGTGTACCTGGCTTCTATGGTTTGTGGTTGAGTTTGCTTTCTGAATCCTCAGCCAAGCTTTAGTAAATCATAAAAAGTATCTCACCACAAGCTATGCAAACTTTCATTTGTGCTATGTAGGAAACAAAACATGTTTAACTAAATGAACACTTTCCCAGTTTTGCGCATGTTTTTTTTGTTTGTTTGTTTTTTGTTTTTTTGAGACAGGGTTTCTCTGTGCTGCTGTGTAGACTAGGCTGGCCTCGAAATCACATCCACCTGCCTCTGCCTCCTGAGTGCTGGGATTAAAGGCATA